AGATTGTTAACTTGGTATTTTCTGTTATATCGCATGAGTTCTGTTAGCCCGGGAGTTGTTGTTGGGTGTGCGGGGAGAAAATGGCGGAGGAATAAAGCTTTTGGAATGAGACGACGTCGTTGAGTATTTTGAGTTAGTTAGTTATCGATAGCGGCTACATTTAACTTTCACTTTCTGTTCGGAATGAATGCTGCTGCAGCATGGAGGTGTCTGTACACAAATGGTCACTTTTCACTAGGGCTGGGCGGATTGATCTAAAATATCGATAGTATCGATCTAACGTTGGTATTGAGTATTTACTAGATACCTGCGTGATGGTATCGATTCAGTTTCTTCTAACCTGGCAAGCCATGATGGTACTCACCGCTACAGATGTCGGTCAACGAGGCATAATTCTAAAAATGCTGGTAAGGGCCATGCAAAATCATTCCCAGGGCCGCAAATGGCCCCTGGGCCGCACTTTGGACACACCAGGTGTAATGCACTAGCATATTTTTCTGTCTTCTTAAAAAGATAATTCAAATACATAAAGTGTTCAATTTCCAATCACTGATACGTTATAAGAAAAAAATAACATCATGAACAAATTGAAAAAAAAAACTTGCCTATTCTTGCGATGACTTCATCGATCTTTCTCTTTTGTTGTAGAATTCTTTCAACCTCCCCCTTACATCTATCACATGGTGTCCATGCATTTTGTTCCTGGTGACCAGGAGGAATGTTGCCCTGATCAGATGAGCTGCCTGAATCTTTCCTGTCTTGTGGCTGGTCAGATGCTTTTCCACTGTCAGATAAGACTGACCCCACTACCTGGCAAACCAGCTGCAGGTGAAGGGCCAGGGGTGTCAAGGTCATATAGTGATGGGCTGGATGTTTGGCCTCCATAGAGTGATGGACCTGGGTTGGCATGGCCATATAGTCGCGTGCTGAGTAAGTGGCCTCTGTTGGAAGATGGACTTGAGGCATTGAGGCCATACAGTAATGGGCTGGGTGTATAGCTGCCAAAGGGAGATGGACGAGAAGTGTTGAGGCCATATGGTGATGGGTTGAGTGTACGGTCTCCATAGGGAGGTGGACCTGAGGTGTGGATAAGGCCATACGATGATGTGCTGGCTGTATGGACTCCGTAGGGCGATGGACAAGAAGTGTCCGTGCCTTTTGGTGATGGGCTGGGTGTATGGTCTCCGTAGGGTGATGTATTGATGGTGTTAGAGCTGTCATAAATTTACATTGAACCATAAATTACATTTCAGTAAACACAAAAACACATGGCAAATGACTACAAAAAACTGGCAGAATTACCTATAAAATAATCGTTTCATACTTAGACACAGAACATTTGTTACAACCCAGGTTGGACAGGTAAAGCCGTAACAACATTTCAATACCAGGGTTTTTCCTGCATTCAAATTTGCGTGGCGGCCGCCTCCAACTAATTTTGGACCGCCCCAGCCTGATTTCACTCTGCCCCCAACTTTATGGATGTTATTTTAACTGCAGTTGCAGTGTTGCGCCACTATAGGGCGCTGTATCAGCAGCGGTGCACCGAAAAGTGCAAACACCAACGCAGAAAAAGATCAAAAATGGCTTTTCTCGCTAGTTGGTAAATATCTATGGTTGGTGCTATTAACGTCCTGATTTTCCCCCAGGCTCTTCCAAATCAGAGCAGGGCTGTACAGTCCGATGAAAATAACTGTCTGTGCGTGTCTGTCTACTTTTAAATGTAGCACTGGTGCAACATCTTTGAATTACTATTTTCCCCAGAACTTTCTTGAACAAAAGTAAGTTATGTGTAAGAAAAATGCTTTTTACTGGCACACAGTGTGGTCATCTGGATGCAGTGGAGGAAAATAAAGGAACCAGCAAAGCCAGAACCGGTCCAAAGTTTGGGATCAAAAGAAAGGCAGATTGGCTAATGCTAAAGCTAACGGGTAGCAGTCTCACGATGAAGTGACGCACAGAAAAAAATATGATGATGGTAAAACTAAGAAAGAATAAACTCTACAAGTGGATGAAAAGTCCCCACCATCCTGTTTATTCTGCATCCCGCAGTGCTATGGATCAGAACCGGTGCAGATACGAGTCACATTACTGCTGGTGCCGGAAGTACGGCAAGCTGTTGTAATATATAATTCACAAACGCTTCTGTCTTCGAACATAATTTAAACTGGATTATTGCCAACCCGTACATTATAGACATGCCACCATTACATTGTTATCAGAAGAAACTAAATGTTATTACCATTTCCAATATGTTAATGAAATGCATTCTATTTTACTGGATATATTTATGTGTTATTTTGACTAAGAGGAGTGTTATTAATACAAACCTAAAATGTTACTGAAATGTAGGTCAAATATTAAAAAATAATTTAACTACAAATATCAGATGTAAAAAGGGAACTAAACACCAATCTAGTGCATATTATTGAGCCTTTTATAATAATAGTCTGTTATTTCAGCCTGATCATTTTGTTTTATTTCATATTTTTTTAGCAGCAAACCAGTTTTGTTTCATTTGAAATGTTGTGAAATGGAATATTCAATTAATCAACAGAAGCTTAGGTTAGAACATTTAATGGAAAAATATTTAGCCTTTCAAAAAGTGAGGCTAATTAAATGAACTGAGTACGCATGTGCTGGTGCATGGTCAGGATGGTACCACCTCTGTCTCAATTTGAGCCAGGAAAAACCCTGAATACTAAGCAAAAAGCTCACAATGTGTTGAGACAATTGAGCTTTTTTGTGAGAGATTTAGCTGATTGATTTAAACAGATGATAAGATAAACATAATGAGAAACCAATGGCAAAAAACTTAACCAAGATTTTGTTATTATTATTGTAAGCCTACCTGTAGGATGGTGGGTCACCGCAGCTGCGGCTTGTTGCATGCCCTGCGTCAGGTGATGCATTCATGGCTGGGATTTCCTCACCATGTTCAGACAGTGGGCTTCTTATAATGGTGTTAGACTCTGATGAGTGTAATTGCACATTCTCTTTTAACATATTCAAAAAGGACTTCTGTGAAGTTTGGTGGCTTTTTGGCAGCTTAGAATGATCTTCCCCTGAAATATATTCGACAGTGGCCCTATAAAATTTACCATCTGACCACTTTGCTAAAACAGGATCTCCTGATCTAAGATCTTGCAGCTGCACAGGAGCCTCATCTCTTGACAAAATGTCAACGCCTGTAAAGATTTTGCCAGTATAACCGTCTTCCCATCTGACAAATACATGACACCCTGGGGAAGAAAGAAAGCAACTAAGACATTTTCTATTTAGTCACAACAACGTACACAGTTACTTTTGTAGGGGTGCACCGATGCAGTTTTTTGCCCAATCCCCAATCTTGAGAAAAACCTGACTGGCTGATTTCGATTTTTATTTTGACATTTATTTATTATCACTCAGATCAGCTGATTCACGCCAATCTGACCCTCCACAGTGTGCTACAGTGCAGCACGGAGCAAGAGAGAGGTGCTAATTTCAGGCTAGATCATCTTAATCAGTCAGAGAAACTGGTAAGAACTGTTAGGGAAATTTGTTCAAACTAAATCACAGGAGATGTCCAAAACGTTTCATAATCCTGTGTGTTCATCATGTGTTAAAAAAAAACTGCATTTGGGGAAATCCAGATTAAAGCGAGGATCAATGCACGGGTGGAGACGTATTTCATCCACACTTTCTGTTAGGAAAACGCCTCTGAAAGAGGTGTCTCCTGGTGGACCGAGAGAGTGGTGCTGAGGCAGTAGTGGAAATATGGACTGATTTTGATCAGCCTCTGCTCAAAGACATCAATGCCGATTGATCGGTGCACCCCTAATTTTTAAATCATATGTAATGATTATTGCAGCACAACATAAAGCCTATATAACAGACACACTAACAGTTGACAGTATTATTTAGACACTTACCAGATTGTTCATTTAGCAGAGGGGAGTGCTGCAGGTCCTTCATTTTCTGGGTTGGAACCCGTAACCTTTTTTTGCCTGGCATTTTTTTGTTTTCCATTCTGTTAATTAAAACATAAATTCAGCTTCCACTTTTTCTTATCACAGCCAGTTAGCCATGCCACGTCCAACGGTCTGAGTAAAATGACTGTGGAATTCTTAAACATATGTATGACCCACTCCAATGAAAATCATGTTTTTTTCCTGTTTATAACATGTTCATGATTTATTTTTCTTATATTACAGCTACTGCGGCAACAAGTTATTTTCAGCGCTCAAGTATTGGGTCTTTCATATGGATCAAAATCGTTCATAATGTGGATTTTGTACATGTAGCTGTCCCTTACGTCTTTATTATCCCTGTATATTCTGCATCCTTGGGATTTTGACATGTTTTACACTTTCACCCAAATCTGCTTCTTATCTGCGCCTTAGTTTCACATTAGTTTACACTTGTAAGTCCGCCACAATTTCTGTATCTGTGCACATCCCAGAATGCTCTGCGTAATCATGTGATCACAAGGCGCCAAATGAATAGAACGTAAAATATGCTAAATACTTATATCAAGAAGCAGTAGCGACAATGCTAACTCGTCCTTTTCAAATAATAGTAATTCAGATTAAAGCCCAAACTCTCATCTTTCAAACTATATAAGTATCATTACTCTAGTGTAAAGCTCACGGAGTTACGAGCAAACAAAGCAGCGAAAAATAGCAAATTTCATGAAGTAAGCCTTGAATGTCAAGGCCACAAAATTATGTGAGTTGTGGAAGCTAACTATCAAAGATTTATGCTAACGCCATCCACCTCTCCGTCTTCTCAAATGTAAATTATTTGACATCTTTGCAACGTTATTTGTGTTACATGCCATGATAACTAATATATATTTTTGATTCTTACCTTGCTGGAACAAAAGGTAAAGCTTCAACGACCGACCAAAGGACAGTTCTCTCTTGTTCACTTTTTTTTCTCTCGGACTTTCCCTGCACTGAAAACCGCTTGAAACCTGTTTTCATGTCATGGTCTTTTAGAGGCCAGTGTCACGTGACATAATGCTGTCCCCTACAGGGCGGGATTGGGATCAAACTGATTCAAATGTTCTAATCTAGAACAACATACTCTCGCGAGATTTGGTATAGATCTCTGTTTGACCCGGTTTGACCTGACTTGAGAGAAACATCACAGCGCAAGAACAACTAAAAGTAAGTAAATTGTTTTTGTTTTCCTAAATTATGCGCTCTTACCACATACAAGGTAGGATTCGTTCTACTACAGTAACGTCACTGCGTTGCATAAAAATGATATAAATATATTCAACCACGTCCGCGATCACCTAGCTAAGATGCCTAGCCACACCTAGCTAAAACATGTATGTTTACTGATACATAAAGCGTTACATATAACCCCCCCCCCTTCCCCCCAAACCGTTCTCGATCATTCTATCCTACTTACTGAAGTTACCTAGTCTTAATAAACAGTTATATATTATTTCTAGTAACATTTAATGCTCCAATAGCGACGTATTGGGTGCTGTACAGCTGCATGTTGGGATAGCTAGATGTCTAAACAACTGAAGCGTTGGTTGCTTTGTGTTGTGAGTTTGTTAAACTGCAGAAAATGGTACACTTTTGCTGCCATGCTAACCTTCACAAGAAGGCAAAAAGGTTAAAAGTAGGCTGGAGTCACGGTAATCGTATTTGGCCGTTTATTTTGATGGAGAAATCTTAAGGCTGTTGGTCATACTGACAGACTGTAATTACCCCGACGCATGCATGTGTGAAGACATTTTAAACGTTATGCACAGAGACTGCGGAGGTAACAACAATCAAGTAAAGATTCGCATCTGAGCGTTGTCTCAAACGTGGACACCTTGATCAGTGCAGCTCGCTATCAGCACGCTGAGGAGCTGTAGAGAGCATCTCGGAGCATGTCTGATAGCCTGCCAGTCTCTCTCTGTTTAATTCTGCACAGAGACTGAGTCAGACTCCAGAACCAGACCACAGCAGGTAAAATCTTCCTTCTTTAAGTGAAATCATTTAATTGTGGCATTATTATGTTACTGGACACGCTGGCCAGCTTGTTTAGAGTAAATATAATAGAAAAATGTATGAAAATTAAATTGTGAATTTTTATATTATTTGAGAGATGAAAATGATTGTAGAAAAGGATCAAGACCGTTTTTTTACAATTATTAAAACTAAACAAAGTAAGATATCATAAAACAAATGAAAGATGATTACAAATTCCAATTAGATATAAGAAAACAAAAGATTTTGGTAAAAGCAGCTTTAACTAAAAGTGTTTTAAGCTGTTTTTAATGGTGTCCAGACTGTTAATACTACTTAATAGGGTTGCATTGGTACCCTAAAATCCTAATCAGTTCGGTCAGTGTTTTTAAGGGCTCGGTTCAATCAATTTTAGGAATATTATTATTATATCTATTTATGTAATATTTAAAGTGGCTCCTACAGTGAGCAGAATGAGGTGTCATCACAGGCTGCTGATCTAGCATGATGTCTTTAATTATTTGACAGGTTATTTTTGCAGCTATGAGGGTCACGTTCATACAAACAAGTGTTGTGTTTGACTTTTGATGGTCCGTGTTTTTATTTCTGCAGCGAGCCTTACAAACTCAACTCACACCACCCAGAGTTTCTTCTTTAAAAGTTGTATAAAATAATGTGCTTCCTCGGCATTTTTTGTTGTAGGATGAAAACTTTACATCAGTTTTTCCAGGGAAAAGGTTTGGCTGATGTGTTTGTTTACATTTAGCCGCTGCAGACCTGCAGTGTGAGAAGGGACAGAGGGGCAGCGCGACACTCCGTTAAGCGTCTTTACAGGCTCCAGTAGCAGCGACAGCCAGCTGGTTTGATCTGCTCTGAAAGGCGTTAATCAGAATTAGCAGATCACATTTCTTAAACGGAGATCGGGCACATGCAGCCATCATGCATCACTAAATACAGCGGCTGTGCGGAAACTCGCCTGGGAACTTTTATCTGCTGCACTTAAATCACACAATAAAAATGCATTATTGTACGAAAAAAATAAACTGAAACGGTACGCAAGTGGACTGAGCTGAAACGGTTAAACGTTTCATTATTGAGGTAAACTCCTCAATATATTGTGATATTGATTTTAGGCCACATCGCCCAGCCCTACCTCGTAGAGACCTGAATTGACACTTGCTAGAAAGTATATTTTTGTTTATTAAAGATTTGATTAGATGTAAACCCCTTTACTGAACAAAGACTTGATGCTTCATTATAAAATATTTTAACTTTTACAAAAAGTTCCACTGTATATTCCAGTAACTTGTGTCTGTTTTTATATAGGATTAGGGTGTCAAATGACCAGACGAAAACCTGGAAAACGATGGAGGAGGACCAGTAATGAAGATGGCTCAAATAAACGACCAAGAAGGATTTCACAATTGGTGAGTAGCCTGTCATAGATGTGTTACAGAAAAATCTGCTGCAGATTAATAACCTATTTTTCTCCCTGCAGTCATCTCTTTTTGCAGCCACTAATGTTCATGTGGAGACTGATGAGCAATCTTTAAGTAAGTTATGAAATGTGCATATCTTTTACTTTTTAGATTAGATCGGGATTTATTTTCAACATCTTTTAAATGTGCTAGCTGCGTGAAATAACCAGCTCAGTGGTCTAGTGGAAGAGTGTCCGCCCTGAGACTGGGAAATTAGGGTTCAATTCCTGGTCAGATCATAACAAAGACTTAGAAAAAATGGGACCCAGTGCCTCCCTGCTTGACACTCAGCATTAAGGGTTGGGTTGGGGGGTTTAAACCACCAAATAGTTCCTGAGCACGACTCTGTCTGCAGCTCACTGCTCCCCCAGGGGATGGGTCAAATGTATAGAATACATTTTGCACACACACCTGTGTGACAACTGATGGCACTTTAACTTTAAATTATTTTTAAACCTCCCACTGTCTCTATGGGTGACCCTGCGAGGAAAGTTGACCATTGAGCAGGGTTGATGGTTTATCCCTTGGGTCCACGTGGCAGGGGTGAGGAGTGAGCCCACCACGTGGACCTTAAGGGATAAACCATCAACCCTGCTCAATGGTCAACTTTCCTCGCGGGGTCACCCATAGAGACAGTGGGGGGGGGGGGGGGGGGGGGGGGGGGGGGGGGGTAAAAAGTGTCTGCTCTGCTGTCTGATCATTTTAGCTACAGCCAGTCCCAAATAGAGAGAAGACAGATGTCCTGAGCACAGTTGTTCTGCAACTCACAGGTCCTATAGATAAATAGAACACAGTCCACAGTTTGTCAAAAAATTGCATGGAAATATTGTTTACACATATCTGGATTTAAGTTGCACATGTAAATAACAAAATATAAGTTATCTTGGGATATATAATCATTTATTCTTTAAACTTTCACCTTTTAAGTTAAAGCTGTTAATAACATAAGGGCAGGATCCTTTCATAAACACTAGGTTTGAAGGTTTTGACTTTCTCCTTATATTTTAAAAAGTAGTGTAGGTCACTGTGTGGCTGCAGCCTTTGCTCCAGTCAGGGCATTCAAGTTGACATTGTTGTCCTATTAGTGTGTGTGTGTATTTATATATATATATATATATATATATATATATATATATACATATATATATATGTATATATATATATATATATATATATACATACATATATATATATATATATATATATATATATATATATATATATATATATATATATATATATATATATATATATATATATATATATATATATATATTAGGGCTGGGCGATATGGACCAAACCTTGCATCTCTATCTTTTAGCTGAATTCCGATATACGATCCATATCTAGATATTTTTCCTCCTGTAAAATATTTACAAGTTAACACACTTCAAGCTGTCTTGAGAAATTATATACATACATCAGTAGATTAAATACTTAAAAATGTATTGATTCTTGTCAAACTTTTACCTTAGTGCCTATTCTCTACCAGTCTGCGCTTTAGAAACACTGGTGCAGCTGTCTAACACACACACGCACGCACACACGCACACACACACACACACACACACACACACACACACACACACACACACACACAGGTGAGAGCTAGAAGTATATAAAATGTCCCACAGGCACTTTAATTATATATTCATAATTAATGTAAAAATTTTAAATTTCCTCTAGAGATGGACAATATCGTATATTTCTTGTCCAGAGAAAAATAATCTATCATGTTTAATTAAATTTATGATGATGTAATTGCATCTGCTGAAGGTCACATGGGTCATGCACCATGGAGTTATTAGTTATCAGGGCAAACATGGCTGGAATCTAACAGTATTGACTCATATCAGCGATTATAATGTAATGACTCAGAGTCTCTGGTTGCTCTTTTATCAATATTATTTTCGGGCAACTGTCGGCGTAACCCACGCCTTACGAACTCTTAGCTTTTTTAACAGAATTGCTCGTAATGGAGTATTTACTAGCAAAGCGAACCAGAGCGGGAAAAAATAAATAAAACGGTACCCCTATAGTTTGCTATTGAAACCCTTACATGACGTTTGAGGTAATTTGGCCACTCCGGCTGTCCGTAGATGTTTCCCGATTACACGGGGGGGAGGGGTTTGTCTCGTCTCTCCGCACAAGCAGAATGGATAAACAAAACTCTGTTGGTGTTGAACGTCCCCAAATAATTAAAAACAGGGACCCAAATGCAAAGTTTAGAGCAGCACATTTACTCAGAGGCTCTCAGATTGAGCAAACTTGTGAGAATACACGTAATAACCGCTTTGAGACGGAGCAACATGTCGTTAGCATAGCGACTAATCGCTATCATAGCAATTTGGCCAGTTATATCAATATAACGATATAGTCATGAAGTCTACAGAGGGTGGTGGGATCTGAGTGACATTTCATTAACCCTGTAGTGGCTCTAGGTAAGGCAAAGCAGCTTTATTTGTATAGCATATTTCAAACACAAAGGAAATTCTAAGTGCTTTACAGAATAGATAATTATTTAAAAATATGGAAAAGTTGCATAGTGTGCCTTTTAATTAGAACAAATTAAGATTAAATATTACTGAATATGCGATGATTAGGCCGTCATTTTACATTTGACTGAATAGGCTATGACCATCAGTAAAAATCACTGAAAAAAAACCAGTGTTATTTTTGATCTACAGTAAAGCCTAATTCATACGTCTCCATCCCCTCCACGAGGGAGAGACGCACAGACGAAGACGTTTTGCCTTCAGACTTCTCCATCTCCTGAGGACTGTTACAAAACAATTCCCTGCCAGGACACCAGAGGGCGCAGCGGTGTTCTGTGGTGTCCTGTCATGTCAGACTTTATAACACGGACAAATTTGTCCCTTATCCTCCTCCACCTCTTCATGCGTTTGCCACCTCTAAATCCACATTTCCCATCATTTCCGCCGAATAAAACACTTGCTGTGCATCTTTTCACTCCTCCAGTCATGGGTGAATAAACGTTCATATTTGTAGAGTTTTTCTGCGAGGTATTCTTGTAGCTTCTCCCTGTCTGCCGCTAGATATCCTCAGCTTTCTTTATGATTTTGAGGGTGCAATGTCAGCGCAGTTGACAACAGCAGCGTTCTGACCAATCATAAACTTGTATTCTCCGTCTCGTCGAATGAATGCTTAGATAAGAGAGTTAGACTCCATCCATTCTTGCGAGCCTGCTGGAGAGCCCTCGAAAGGACGAATACTGGCGTTGCGTGCATCCGTCCCTTCGCAGATGGAGAAGTATAAATTAGGCTTAACTATGAATGCATAACATCCTTTTTATCCTTCTTTAGCACTTGGTACCAATAAGCACAGCTTGATTACATTATACAAATTTGCTATTGTGGTATGCCTGTAGAGACAATCTCCATTGTTGGCTAAGTTGATATTGTTTCTACCAAGTACTGTTAATGTCGCTCACTCCCAGGTTTTGATGAGTGGAATTCAAGAATGTGTATTATGTGTTATCAAGAAAACACAGATGTAAACATAAACTGATACAATGTGAACAAGACGTGGAAGAAAAAAAATACACACCCCATTAGTAGTATTTTAATAATCTTTAAATAATTTCTAGTGAATCCTGATTCAGATAAAGGTATGATTTATTCATATGTCCTCTTCACTGTCAAAAGGTAGGGAAGCACAGCAGAAGGGTTTGCCTCCTGGAGGAGACCAAAACACTCCACTTGAAAAGGAACCTATCCAACCACCAAATATCCATGCAGGATGTGCCCCACTCTCTCTGAACTATCAAGTCTCTCACCGATTGCCAGGTACACTCATCCTCTTTTGTCTGCCTGTCTCTTCATCCAAGGATGCACAGTATTTTTTGTCAATGGGTAGATTCAGCTAGTATAGACCCTTTTACTACCTACGTCATCAAAAGTTGCGCGCGCAGCCTGGCAACGAGAGTGAAGGCTTCCTCATTCACACTCGATAGTAAAACAGCGTTTTAAACCCTTTGTTTTGAAGTTCTGAGCACATAAAAATGTCGGGTTGTTGCGTGTATGGATGCCAGAATCGCTTCTCTTCAAGCAGTGGACTGAAACTTTACAGAATTCCGAAGGGAGCACATCCATTTCAACAAAATCGGAGGCGTCTGTGGCTGCAGGCCATCAAAAGGGTTGATGAAAACTGGACTGAAAACACGATCCGAAATGCTCGAGTTTGTAGCGCCCATTTTATATCAGGTAAGGTAATAATGTACTAGGATTACACCAGAAAGCTGGTTAACGTATGTTCTATTAAATAAGTCTGGAACATCAAAATGACAAAATTAAACAAATGTATACGCTTTATTTCATGCTTCAAATTAACATTTCATTCTAATTCATCTGTATTTTCCCACTGCATATTAGTATAAACTGTATTTCTCTAAAAATAAACACGATTGTACTCTGAGCACGCTAAAAAAGAAACCTATGCTATACTCACCCTGCCATGCAGGTACGTAGTTCTCTGGTTTGTTTACTATGACCCAAGCCTCGTACATAGCAGTCTTGTGTCCTTGTCTTTGGCTAGGAAGGACTTCTGCCTTCAAGACGCAAAACTCAGTCTTTTTTTTTTTTTTTTTTTTTTTTTTTATCGATAAACACCTGCAAACTTGCATCCAACATGGACTTTCTGGGAGTTGGGTGTGTGTGTTTATTTTCAGATCTTACAGCGTATTTATATGTAGTGTAACTCCATAATTTGGTAATTAGTTTTGAGAAAGTGTGTTCGATATTGACTTTTTGTTTATCGATACCCGATGTAGTCTAACTCTTAATTCCTGACAACATAATATGTAATATGTGGGGCCCGCCCACCCCTCATAAGGGGTACCAGCAGACCGGAAGGGTGAAGTGTCCTACCAAAGGACGCAACAACTACAAGAGACTGAGCAAGCAGGACAATTCATTAGCAAAATGGCTACAAGCCATTCGATTTCACAGGTGTTAACTTAAAATTCGGTGTGTTCATAGGTTTGCCATTCAAAACAGCTGGGAGTGTGCAAGATGATAAATATAATTATTTTCAATTCTTATTCCAAAATGTTGGACTGGCATCATCTTATATTAATAGATGATGTGAATATTTCAGTTTTGTTATAAAAGTTGCTGTATATAAAGTTTTGTTCCAGGAATATTAGGCCTTTTATTTTAAGTTTTAGGTTTACTTAAGAGTGCTGTGAATTAATAAATAAGAGACTCTTTAAAACTGCAAGAGTGAGCAATTTAATGTTTATGGTCAGAATGTCAAGGTAAATCAAATCAATCAATCAGAGCTTTATTTATAAAGCGCCTTCCGAAACCCTGTCAGGAAGCCCTAGGCGCTGAACACAGTACATAAGAAATGTGAAACACAATGAATAAATAGATAATAAAAGCAATTCAAATAGTGCAAAAAAGGTAAAACATTTAAAAGTAGAAACAAATGGATAAAACAAGGGATAAAAACACCAATGAAAACAGGGAAATAAAATCAACAAAAAAGAAGGCCGACCTCAAACACGTTCAGGGGAACGTCGAGCGGAGGAGGTGGGGTTTTAGGCAACTCTTAAAGACCGGCAGATATGGGGACAGCCTAACTGAGGGTGGCAACTGGCTACAGAGTGAAACCGGAAGCTTGTTAGTGTTAATGGAAATATGACATAACAGTACTGACGGTTACACTTATTTGAACATTTTAAATACATGGCATATCTGAAATTTACAATAAAATAACAAATGTTCAGCCAAGATCTGTAACAGACCCAAAACAGTGATGAAATATCAAAAAAGAAGTGTGGGTGGAGTAAGACTCTGGTAAGTAATTTTTGTTGTTAACAGTCGGATATTATTAACAAACATCAGTTTGAAACGCAACATGCCTTCATGTCATCACTGGTTTGTAACGAGGTTTCATTATCGATGTGCTGATACAGAAGCTCTCTCAGCTGGTTGGTGCTGCTCTCAACCTCCATCAGGGTTGACTCTCGCTTTGACACTTTCTCAGCCTTTTCCTGCTCCTAAGACACAACCGAAGATTCATCCAAAGATTCATCCATACCACCATTAAATCAAATATGAGGACCAGCAGTGCTGCAGTGCTCCTCGCCTCCTGGATGGTGCTTTTAATGAGCCTGTTGGCGGTTTCCAGGTCTTCAGGATGGCCACTCCTCAGTAGTCTAACCAACATCTAAGTTAAACACACAATTGTTGAACAAATAAAATAGAGTGTGTTGTTTTAAAGTTACTCCGGTCTGTCACCTTGGCCTTGTTGTCTTGATCAAAAAACAGACTCTGTGGTTCTTTGAGGCGGAGGAGCCATAACAACTGTGTCTGGAAGTGTGGGATCCTTCTTCACGATGCCTAACACAAGAGAGATGAGAGGATTTTATTCTTGAAAATTTTCTTAGTTTTGGTAAACATAACATTAATTTTTAATGTGGTATTTCTCAGGTTGGCAAAATCCTGCAGAAAAAAATCACGATTAGTGTTGTCCCTCACCTTGTTTCTTCAGCATGTTGTAGGCTTCCTGAATATTAGGTTCCTCTTTAAGCCAGAGCGTCCAGCCGTAGAAGACCTCCGTCTCTCTGTCTTTAACTTTCTGTGGACTCCACGCGCCAAAGGACTGAAATCAGTAGGTGATGATAATTAAACTATGCTGATCTGACTGAAATGCATAAAAATTACAAAACAGTTAGATTCCTTATTTAACCGAACCATAATTTAAATACCAAGATTTATAGAAAAAGAAATTATGTTAAGAAAGTATTTTTCTTTTAAGGTCTCTTTCACAACTATTGAGACAACAAGGATATTTTTTCATTTTTTCTGGTCACTCACAACATTGAAAATGGACATCAGATCAACAGTCTTACTAATCAGACTCTGTTTTACTTCCAGAAAAAATCATTTTCAAAATCATCAGAAATTTAAAGCAGTAGTTCTTTGAAATAAATCTGTTTTGGCAGGTCAGAACTACACAAGAATCACAAATCGGTATCGGCTCTAAAAACCAGAATCAGTTCATCCTCGAAGTTTAGGTTTTCATTTATAATTTGCTGTAGCTTTGGAATATTGTTCAGCACATTGGTTGTTTTTACTACAACAGTAAACTATCTTTATGATGAATAAAGTATGTTACACAAATCTTCATATTGAGCTTTTTTTTTTTTTGAAGAACTAAACTCAAATGAATTGAGTAATAAAAAAAAGCTTATTTTGTAAGGACAAATTAAACATCAACTATCTACTTTTCAAAGTGAAAAAACTGTGTTAAACTTGGACCAGATAGGTTTTCAGATACGTTTATTAACTGCACTGATTTATGTTAGTGGGTCTATGACACCTGTGAGTTACCTTTGGCGTTAAGACTTTGATAAGTTCATTCAGAAAGCGAAACTTAGCTGCCTCGCTGCGGAACCGCTTTCCACAATTGTTCATACAAGCCTCCAGAACCTGGAAAGCATCAAAGAGAATATTATCGTTACCTCCAAACACATTGGAAGTGTGGTTAACCAGCCTTAAATGTCACATGATGCGATTCACGGCACCCTTGAAAAGTTACGATTCACAGCAGAATCACGGTATCAAACGGTGTAAGTTCTCAGCAGATTTATTCCTCATTTTTCTTGCTCATGCAGTAATTTAGTGCTAATCACTAGATTGCTCTCTTCAACAGGAAATGGACTAAATCATTGGAGGTACTATGATGACCTTTGATTAAAAACAGATACTGTACATCAAAATACTGATGAAAATCATGCCATTGATATTTGTCTTGTTCAAACAATATAAAAAGATTAATTTAAAATTTGAAGTCTAATGTGTTAAAGTGAGATCTGCCAGTTGGTGAACCTGCATCATCTGTATGTATGTTTATGTGAAGTTTGGTTACCGACAGTGAGAGCCTGAAGAGCTTCTTTCTCATGTGGAGACGGGATTTTATGGGGGAAGAAGACATAGAGCTACTTGTGGCCTGAAAGCACAAAATATTTAATTAAATTCATACAATCTCAGAAACACAGTACTTGCATGAAGTCCTCCAGAAATTTCTGTGCACTCTAGAAAAGCTAAAAGGAATTAATTAAAACGGTAATATAAAATATAACTGCTATGGGAGACACAGCCACTTAGACAAACCTGATGCAAAAGGGTGAAACCTGAATTAGCTAAATATCGTTAATTTGTAATGTAAAATGAATCATTACCAAGGGCTTTAGATATTTGCTTCTTTTTAACACACTTGAGTAAAAAGAACATGTCTCCCCTGAATAAAAATCTATAGTTTTCTTTGCAAAAACACTTTTACTGATGAATAAAAGTAAAGAAATACAGGGATTTCTTCAAAAATAATTATCTTTGGGCTGACTCTAAATGTCGATGCAAAAAAAAGGGTCTTTTCTTTTTAAAAATATTATGATTTTCTTTTGTTGTCTTCTAACTTCCTGTTAGTGATCATAACATACTGATTTACACAGGACTGTATGTTGCAGGCATCTCATGAACAAGCAAGCAAAGATCCTAAAACAGGTCTGCTCTGAACTGAAAACTTTTTTTAGAAAGATCTAAATGCCCTAAAACAGCAAAAAAAAAAAAAAATCACAGCTGATCACAAAGACTTTCACATATTCTTCATAACGATATTTCTATTTAAATTGGAAAAAGTTTAAGGTGTTTAAATAACACCTGTGCCGAGATTAGTTTCAGACATGAGTCATTAATTACTCATCTAGATTTTACCAGCATTTTTCCTTTGAAACCTACTAAATAAAAAGGTTAAAGGAAATGCATTGTAACATGTTATTCTTTTATGGGATTTTATAATGAAGTATTTATAAGAATCGTTGGATTTAGTATCAGATAAGGTTCATTTAGTAGTTACAACTCTGGTAAAAACACCAGTACGTTTTACTAACCTACGTTTGCTGGAAACTCTTCCGAGTTACTTTAATTTTGTTTTCGTGTGACATGAAAGTAGATTATTAAATCATCGGCACAAATGATACAGCGCTCGAGCGCCTCTCCCTCAGGCACGCGCACAAGCTATGCAACTTCCTGCTCCAGCTAAAATTATTTCTACTTTTAATATTATTTTTATTTAGTAAAAGCTAAATAAAGTGCGGACAGAGCATTAATAAGCGCTGCTTTACATAAATGCAATAAAGTTTAAACACCGAGTGGAAATGACGTTTTTGGTGACATTTACAGCAACCATCGGTGGAGATGAAATGACGAGATGCAAGCTAGCATCGCGTCTCATCCTTAAACAAGCAGCTAAAAAGTAAACTTTTGTCTGTAGCGTGTTTACTTACTGAGCCTGCGTGTCCACCACAGTCGCCATAGCTGCCCGTCTCTAACTGGTGCGGGGACAGTTTCTGACCGGAGCGTGTCTGCGCTTGAGGCGAAGGTGTCAAACTGCAGTTTGTTTATGGTGACATGTGACCAAGTTACACAAAACACCCCTTCCCCTCACTGAGGGCGATTCGTCTAACTGCAATATTTTAGAGGAAATTCTTTTACATTTTGACACAATAACTTTTATTCTTAGGTGGAAAACAATTACAAATAGCTATTTAGGGGTTT